TCCTTTTCCGGTTGCAGAGGTAGACGATTGTGGTATCCTTGAAATACTCCGGGACGTCTCCTTCACGCCACATCTCCTGGAAGAGCACTGTCAGATGATCTTTGAGTTGTGAACCATTATGCTCGTGGAGCTCAGCAGGTATCGCGTCCGTTCTAAGCGCTTTCCGGTTGGAGGGTTGTTGCACGGCCTTGATGGTTTCGTGGAGAGAGAACGGGAGCTCGAGGTCGGCGTTGATCTCCTACTGAGACAGCGGGACGATAGCGGCGTCGGAGATGTTGGAGGGACGGTTGAGGACGCCTCTGAAGTGCTCAGTCCATGGCTAAAGAATTTGTGTCTTCTCAGTGAGTATGGTGCTGCCGTCGGCGCTGATGAGAGGTTCAGTACCTTGGGCTAGCGAACCGTAGACAGCTTTGATCGCGGAGATGTTCTTTCATTCGTTGTGTCCGCGTACCCTTAGATCTCTTCGGCCTTCTGAGCTGTCCAGACGTCCTTTATCTCGCGCAGCCCCTGCTGCACCAGGCGGCAACTACGGTAGAAGGCCGCTCTGTTGTCGTCGGTCGGGCTGTCGATGTAGGCTTTGTGCAGGCGGTTCTTCTCGGCGAGCAGGTTGCTGATGACGGCGGTGGCAGCGACTGGAGGGTTGTCTAGTCGTTGAGCAAGCTCATCGTCAAAATGGAGATGGTGAGCAGCCAGGGACAATAAGGCAATATTCAGCTAACCTTGGGTCGCTTACCTTGAGGTCTCCTGCGAGGCTGTCGGCAAATACGCATCATAAAGTTGACGAGGCGATGTTTGGCTCACCCACTGGCACCGGGGATTACGTTTGTCACCAGCACGCCCCGCTGGCCTCGTCTGCGGACGAGGACATAGTCCAGCAGGTGTTACTGACGCGACCGAGGATGCCTCCAGGTGGCCTTCTCTCGCTCCGGCAGACAGAGGAAGGTGTTCGTCAGGATGATACGGTGTTCTGCGCAGGTGCGGAAGAGGATCAGGCCATTGTCGTTGGAGCCGTTGACATCATGGGAACCTAACACTCCTCTCCAGGTAGCATGGTCTGTGCCGACATGGACGTTGAAATTACAAAAGGCAATCATTTTATCCGCCTCCGGCCCAGACGCCAGGAGAGCGTGCAGATCCTGGTAGAATTTGTTCCTCGCCTCGTCAAGGCTGGTTATCAGGGTGGGGGAGCGTAGAGGCTGACGGTGGTGCGAATTTACCTCTTTGACGAGGCAAGAGGAAGCACATCAGGCGATCACTGATACCTTGCGACAGACAGGGCAGGCGTCCCACGATGTCACTTTGGATTGCAAAGGCGACACCCGCGTCCCATCGCCCTGCCCTGGGGCGATCGCGCCAGAAGAAGGTGTAGCCGACACAGCCTCCTCTAGTTGACCTTGTCCGGAAAACGCGGTCTCACTGAGTGCAGCGATGTCCACCTTGTAGCGCGCTAGTTCCACAGTCACAAGCACCATCCTTCGTTCAGGTGGGTTGCTTCATGGATTTTCTAGAAGGGAACGAACATTCCAGGCTGTCAGACTGAGCGGACTCACTCTAGCAGCCTGTGGGGTGGGACGGTGGGGACAAGAAGGGGGAAGAGAGAGAGTGTTGTTTCTGTTTTGACTGCCTCGACGTCTGCGGCCATGGTCAGCCTGCAGAAGGTGTGGGTCCCCAACATTTGCTTAGGGCACCTTTTCTAGCCCCTTCCACCTCGCGGGAGTGAATAGTGTTCTCCCTAAATAGGGTTGCTTAGTTGTTCCAGGCAACTGCCGAACTCCACTATGGGCCACGACTTTTGTTTGGTGGGAGAACGACTCGAGCTGGCATGGGCCTGCCTACGATATCGCCGTAAGATAGAAGGGGCGGACGAGGAGGGAAGGGTAGAGAAACGGGAAGCAAAGCTTTCCCACCCATCTCTATGTTAACTTGTTGCTAAAATGCAATCAGTGAGTAGACAAATTCAACAGAACGACATTTAGCTTACAGTGAGGACAGCCACGAACAAGCAGACAAAAAAGCAAGCAGGCAAGAATGGCGAAAAGCGAAGGAAACAGGGGAACTTCAACAGAGCAACATTTAGCTTTTAGCAAGGACAAACACAAACTAGCAAAGGGCAAGCCAACAAGCGTAAGTGAAAGTCAAGGCAGCCGAGCAGATGTTCGTTTACTTGGGGCTCATTTACCTAATGGCCTCCCAAGGTGTTCCAGACAGAGCGTCATCTCCGAGATGCCAATGCGGTGATCCATCCGGCCAGTGGAGCCGAGATTACTATGTGCGGATTTGCACACAGGGATACCCGCTCCTGATTTATCCAACCGGTCGAGGCGGTTACCGAGGTGTGGCTTCTAGGCAGAGCCTAGCCTCGAAGAGCCACATATGAGAGTTTGGTGTCAACAAATGAACGCTAGGCGTAGTCCACACCTGTGAACAAGCAAGCGACCTACTATGACCCTCACGTGGACCAACAACTGAACACCCCTACACCACCAGCACCTACGATACACATCAACATCACTCATCATCGCACAACGTAGGCGGGCTTACATAAGTGGGAAGTGCGCTGCTCGGCTCCTTCTCCACGCGGCTCCTCTGCTGCTTGTGTGATCCGAGCTTGAGACTAAGACGGTGCGTCAAGCGCCGTGGCTTGAACGGTTGACGACCCACGCATCGACTCAGTTAACGCAGTCCGCCCAGGCTTGCGTGTTTGTTTTGAATAGCGGACAGGTGGGCCGAAAGTCAGACTGCAACAGCTCCTTCTTAACTTGACCTCTGACAGTTTCACGCATGAGTGTAGTGTATTTTACTTAATCGGTAAGGCCTCTCAGTCGATGACTGTTTGGTTGCCCAGTCTTTGAAAGATGATGGCTTAGGCTAAATGCAGGGCTGCGTTCCACCTTTTTGGGCCTAAAGGTCTGTAAGCGTCCGCTGTTCCAGGATCAGAAAACCATAACACTCGCAGCCTGGTATGCACTGACAGTCCTCGGCCATCTGGTTCCTTACCGATAGATGCGCTCGCGCTCCCGCTGGGTATACAAGTGGTATGCAGGGTAGTCCAATGACTTGTGTTATTCTTCTCTTTCCGACTTAGCTTAGAAGACTGACAAATGACAGGTACAGTAGATGTGCTAACTAATGAAATGTCAACCAAAATTTTGAAATGCGTTCTCCTTTCAAAAAGATAAATTAAGTAGTGTTGTAACACTAATCATGATGCAGCATAAATCTATAATGATCCAGTTACCTCAGGGTGTCGGCTTTCGAATGAACTTATTTTCGGCTGCATGCAAGGTCTATACTCTGCAAAAATTGACAACTTAATTAGCATGCAATTTTCTCATTGATTTTCGATGCCCTTGAAAATTCAATTATATTTCATGGAAACCATGCATAGAAATATTCATTCGTTTACTTATTCGGTAGAAAATCACGTCTTCTTCCAATTTCATACTCAAAAGAAGAGTATAATTCGGTTTTAAAAAAGTTTCTAATTGGGAGATTTTTTAATACCATTAAATGGAAGTCCATGAAACGATTTGTATCTGCATTTACGAATGTGGCTTGTAAAGTTAACAATATTGCTCAAATCCACTGCTTAATTTTATGAACCTCATATGGTCTCCTCTTAACACCTCAGAGGAATGCATGGTTTTCCGTACACGGAAAATATACAGCTTGTATTTTTGAAACCCTGAATGCAAGTGTAACAGCAGGTCGGGTTCAAAATTATTCGGGAATTAGAAAAGTTTTTTAAAACCAAATTATTCTTTTCTTTTGAGTATTAACTAGGAAGAAGGCGTGCTTTTCTACCGAATAAGTAAACGAATGAATATTTCTATGCATGGTTTCCATGAAATATAATTGAATTTTCAAGGGCATCGAAAATCAATGAGAAAATTGCATGCTAATTAAGTTGTCAATTTTTGCAGAGTATAGACCTTGCATGCAGCCGAAAATAAGTTCATTCGAAAGCCGACACCCTGAGGTAACTGGATCATTATAGATTTATGCTGCATCATGATTAGTGTTACAACACTACTTAATTTATCTTTTCGAAACGAGAACGCATTTCGAAATTTTGGTTGACATTTCATGAGTTAGCACATGTACTGTAGCTTGAACCTCGCAGTCGAGCCAATATGTCTTTGTGTGGAGTGGCGGACTGTTGGTCTGGGAGTCAGGCTGCAATAGCTCCTTCATAATGTGGTCTCTATGGCACTCCTACTCTGAAGGATCCGAACCGGGTATGGCGGCGCGCAAGGGAACAGCCCCGGCCGCGCCAGCCGTTGCTCTTGTTTTTTACTGAAATCTGAATCCTGGTCAGTGTGTACTGCAAACCAGGTTTGTTGCTGTGAGTCAACTGCAGGCCCTCGCCGCGTCAAGTTTGGTTCCGAGAAGTCTCCCCCTTCTCTCCTTGATGTATAAAATCTTAGTCAAATGTTTCTTGTGGATCAGGGGTTGTGGTAGTACGCCTAGGTGCGTGTCTGGCCGTGCCAGCCACCTGCGCCCTCTCCCCCCTTCGGTCTTTTTGGCTATGTCTTAGTACGGGGTTCAGAGGGTGGGGGAAAGTGTTCAAGTCTACTACCATTATAATCTAATTCACGCGCAAGTCGTCGTGTTTGCTCTCAGCCTGATGTGAGCACACGGTGGATATCGTTGAAACCTACGGTCGAACTGTCATTACCAGTCGGTACAGGATTAATGAAGATATCCAGCATCCGAACCCAACCTTCGCAGGCATCCCATTCATGATTGAAGATAAGAAAGACTTCCATTTCCGCTTTAAACGCTTCCGTCTGCGGAAAAGACGATGTGGAATTCCAAAAAATAGTGCAAAGATAGCGAGCACCTCTCTCATTTTAAGTAGCCATGGGAACCACCCCGGATCGCACAAAGCAATCTCTCCAGCAACACTCCACCGTCGTGTATAAAGGCACTGTAGCAGGCTAAATGGCAAACGTTCAGGACTCTGCAATGATTTACCGTACTAACAACACAGGTATTAGCTAAAAGCCCAGACACACGTGTTTCGCCGATCTTATGCCGCTGCCTGACACAGCTGCGAGGGGTGCGGCTCGTCAGTGGGTCCCCCAGCTTCCCCTAAGTGTTTTCTGGTATATGAACTCCAGTTTCAACTTGTCTTGTTTAATTTCCTCGGAAATTAAACAAGGCAAAAAGGTCAGGGTTCAGTTTTCACAGAAGTTCGTCACGATTGACAAACACTCCAACGGTTTTGTCAAAAATGTAAACGAACACTCGAAAGAAGAAAATTAATCTTATATTGCGTGATTTGTGGACATATCTTTGTTATTGCCTGCTGGTAGGTTTGTGGCCCAGCGTGCTTGTATTGCTCAAGGGCGGATGCGCTAGCTGACTGCTCAAGACAGTGAACAGGTAGTTCATGTTAACTCTGTCGAGGAAAAAATAAATGTGCAGTACCGAATCCCCCAACTGGTTCTTGGCCTTTTTACCGTATGCCAAGAGCCAATGTTGAACCCTGTGATGCCTGAATTTTTACCGTTTAACGGGAACCCACTGACTGTGCCCGTAAAAATCCATTTAGATTCCGTATATGGGATAAAATCTACCAGAGACCTTAAACGATTGCCGAGGGACTGGGTAATTTCAGAAATCTCCGGATGATGTAACACCTATCTTTGATGCACGTCATTCCTTTTAAATTATTACCTGAAGACGGATTAAAAGCGGTTTCTGATGAGTTCATTAAACAACACTTTCGTCCTTACTGATAAAGTTTAGGGGCTTAGCTACCATCCCGATTAATTAAATTAATAAAGCGCGGTTGAGAGAGAGAGATGGTGGGATGGAAGCAAAACATGTGACTTCCCCTCAGTGAAAAGACTTGGAAAAGTGTCTACTTACCCAAAATCGCACAGGAGAGGCCGTAAATCAATATAAATTTGAACAACTCTGAGGACATCGTGGAAAGCGCCACTCCCAAGGATGAGGTCAACGACAAGAACAGCTAGGGTGAATCATGACCGCTTCCTCTACAAAACTGTCGTGGTTCTTATAATTTTTATCAATTTCGGACTCACGGTTATCGGTTATTATGGCATTCCCTGGATCAAAATAGAAAAAACCGACACCAAACTTCAGAAGGGAAATCATATCTATGACAAAGTCGTAAAACAAGGATATCTGAGCAATTACCAGCAAGATTTGGACTCACTTTTTGATTTTTATCATTCAAAGGAAAAGGGATCAAAGAGGGACAAGTACTTCATTAATATAAACAGTAGGTCCACTTTAATGTTTTTGGCATTTTTAAAAATGAAAATTCGTGTGTAAAACAGGACACCTATTTGCGAATCTTCGACATAAGTGTTCACAATATTTCAGATATTTCAAAGTCTTAAGAATCAGCAATAACTTTTGATGTAAGTTAGGACTTCGAGTCTTTCTGAATCTGTTGAAATGACTAGCCAGATGTTAATATCGAAACTTAATGTATGCT